CGGCGGCGGCGGGAGCGGTCGCCGCCCGCTCGCCCCGCTGGGCTGACTCCGCAATATGGTGGAGCGGAGCGGGCGGGGGCTCCGGCCCCGTCTGCGGCTCGCCGCGGGGCCGCCCCCGCTGCCTCCGTCATCGCCCCTGCGGTCCCTCCGGCCCAAATCCCGGTGTATTTCGGTAGGCCGCTCGGGGCACTGCCGGGACCAGAGAGTCCCGAGATGCTTGTCCGGCCCCGGGAGAGGCATTGGACTGCCCCATCCCTGACGAGGGCCGTGGTGGCACCTGAAAACTGGGGCGGCTTCCTCCCTTGGGCACCGCGGTCAGCCGGGGCAAGCTCCTTGACTCCTCTGCGTCGCTCTTGGTGCTGCTTTCTGGTCTTTAACTTCTTTCCCTAGCGAGGGGGGAAAGTAGAAAAGAAATTCGTGGCTTAGTTTATTCACTTTCCTCTTGAGGCTCTTTTGCTGTCTCCGAAACGCTTTTGTACTGTGGGCTTTGATTCGGGCATCTCGCTTACTTGCTCCAGTGAAGTGGATCTCGCTTTTGCCAGAGCTGAAACTATTCAAGGGATCTCTGAAACTCCACAAGATCCTAGCGATCTTCCCTGTCTTGACGAGCAGGAATAATTTGACAGACTTAACTGTCTTATTTTAGTGACTAAAATTCAAACCCATGCAGTGTGTGGCTGGATCTTGTGGGACGCATTGCAAATACTGAATAATCCTTATAAAGGGCCCTTCTTCCTTCAGAGGCCAGATTCTGCAGGGTTAGCCTCTTCTCCTGTTCTACAGTATGCTTTGAGGTTCAGAGTGAAATTAAGTTGTACTCTTAAGTAATCTGACTTGTAATGCTATGTGAGAAACATAACATGTTTCTGGGGGTATTTCAATACTTGATAGGTGGAAGGAAAATTTCTCTGTTACTGTTGTAACCCTTGTCTGTTAACCTGCTTGTATGTTCCATGTACAGTGGTTAATCTCATTACAGGCATTACCTTATGGCACGTGTGTGTTAATATGTGCAAATATGCCTGTAAAATGTTAACAGCATGCCTTTGTCCTTGTTCCCCATTATGTAATGGGGAAAGGTTTTACTTGACCCCAGGCAGAATATTAACACACTCCTGATACTGTCATACATATGAGAAAGAAAGCAGCTGTTGGCTTTTTAAGAAACATAGCAGAAAGCCTTGAAAACCACAGTCCTTTTGAGGACTGACCTCTAGCTTGCCTTTCTGTGCTTTCATTTATGCAGGTTTTTCTGGAACTTAAGGGTCACATGAAACCATCAATGCAAAAAGTGCTTCTTGCAGATCTAGTTCCGCCTGCATGCATGCATAGGATGACAGTGCACTTCTGTGTGTTCTTCTTATGTGGTACTGCAATGCCCCTCTCCTTTTATAGGGTTCATATGGGGAGAGCTGCTAGCTTTTTCTCCATGGGAATACATGTTAGAAAATAATTGCGTAGCGTAGGCTTGTTGAATGACTGGTGCCTGCAGCCCGTTTCAGCATGGGATGGGTAATAAGTAAGTCTAAATTGGCTTAAAGGAGAGTTACTTTCTGCAGTGGAAAAGTCCTGTGCTCTGTGTCAGAGGAATGCTAAATGCCTTACATGGGCATCAGGCATGGCATTAGAGATAATAAACTCTGTGAGTTTAGTGGAATGACTTGTGAGAATTGAGCTGAGGTCACTGAAGTAAGCACTTCGCTTCAATCTGCCATGTGTTTTTGAGATTTGGACAGCAGTGGTGACTCAAATTTCAAACTTGACTCCCGTATGCTAACAGAAGATCTAATCTGATTAAAGATATTGGTGGTGGATTCTTCATCTGACTTGGACATCCTAAACCAGAATTTTAGTGACTTGTTGGCTAGTGTTTTTTTCGTCCTGGCTCAACAGATAAGCCCAAGTGTTTCTCTTTCCTCTAGAAAAACAAATTAATCCATCAGTTGGTAACTCTTTGGTAATTCTGCAATGAACTGCTGTACCTCAGAGCCTGTTTCTTGCATGTGCCCTACTTGTGTTGCCTAAACCAAACAAAGTAATTGGGAAACAAAGTTTTGGATTTATAAATTGTTATAATAAAACGTAATTCCTGTATGCAAGATTGAACATCCTAATCCCTTTGATCAATGGGGTTGATTACAAAAGGGTTGTTGGTTTCAAAGTCTGGTCATTAGGTGGAGTGGATATGAGGATGCTGTAACTCAGATATGTTTCTTTCACAGGCTGTGTAAGATTCAAGACCTGAAAAATGGCATTGGCAGCAATTGATCCACAGCAGGTACATCTGAGTTAGCCCCAGAGTTTTTTATGTCTGCTTCAGAAAAATAGGAGTCAACTAACCTGTTTCTCTTTTAAACAGAACATTGTATCAAGGGTTGTCAACCTTCCCTTGGTGAGCTCCACCTATGATATGGTGTCCACAGCTTACATTACCACAAAGGATAACCATCCTTATCTGAAGTCAGTATGTGAGATAGCAGAGAAAGGAGTGAAGACGATTACTTCAGTAGCCGTGACAAGTGCTATGCCTATCATCCAGAAACTGGAACCACAAAGTAAGGCAAAGATGGAATTGTTAACTTTAATTCAACCGATTGCTTTGTATATCCAGATGCGCTTACAGTTTAGCATGGTCGTGCTGGTCTGGAGTGCTGTTTCAGGTAGCTGACTGAACCTGTTGCCTGGCTTGTTGAGTAACTGATTACAGATGGGTATGATTTAACAACAAAAAAAATCCAGAGCCAAAGTAGTTTCCAGCTTTCGTAATACTAAACTGATTCCTCTTGATATGTGAGATGGTTGCGTAGTCTCTTGCTCAACACCTTCCTCACCTTTCACCTAGTTTAAAATGCTACGTTTTTTACTTTCTCTTGCTGAGAACAACTTGCGGTTAAATTTGGCAGCAGTGTCACAAGGCTGTTGTAACCAGAAGCCTGGTTTCATGAAGTGGCAGAAGGCCAGGTGCTTCATCTTGTTCTAACAGTTAGTTGTAAAGTATCGAATGGATTTTCTCTGCCTGCAAGTGAGCTTTTTTTTCTGGCACTGTAAACCTGCCTTGTTCTTGGGCTTTGCTGCCTCAGATCTCCCTGAAAAGTGGAGGAAACTACTTCAAGAGCGTTGTTGCATGAGCTCTGTTACAAGAGAAATTCTCAACAGGAGTTATACTAAGGAAAAAAACAACCCAAATTAAAATCAACTATTGTAATTTCTTTTATAGTTGTAGTTGCCAACAACTATGCGTGTATAGGTCTAGACAAAATTGAAGAGAGACTGCCTATACTGAATCAACCCACTGACAAGGTAAGTTCCTTCCATGTACATAGACTAAGCAGAAGAGCTATACACCCTTCCTCTTCTCTATTACCACTAAAAATACAGGGAGACAGATTTCAATAAGCCATGTCTAAAGCACAGCTCAGAAGCAATAAGGAAGTGAAAGGTGTTTCTGTAGAATTGTTTGTTGCCTTTGGGAGGCCATTAAGCCTCTTTTTTTCTTTTTGTTATTTTTTTTTTAAATTTGCCCACCATTTGACACATCTATCTATAGCTGCTGTTCACTGGTGGCATTTTTTCTTTTTTTTTCTTGTCTCTTTCCTGCTCAGTGTGAAGCAAATAGTGCCTGGATTACATTCACTGAAGTGTTTTGAGCTGAAGGCTGCATGGCAGTCATATTATGTTTTGTACATATGTTTTCAGGGCAGAATTTCTCCTAGGTAACTGATAGTTGTACAATCTTTAGCATATATTTATATTTCCTGGATTATGCAGCTCTCACTAGAAAATATTTAGCGAATCAACATGTTTCCTATGGCAGGTTGTCGCCAATGCCAAGGATGTAGTTGTTGGAGCCAGAGAAGCTGTAACAACCACTGTGACTGGTGCCAAGGAAACTGTTGCTCACACCATCACTGGAGTTGTGGGCAAGACTAAAGAAGCAATGCAAGACAGCGTAGAAATGACCAAGTCAGTTGTCAATGGCAGCATTAACACTGTCCTGGGAAGTCGTGTGGTGCAAATGGTGAGCAGTGGAGTGGACAGTGCTCTCACTAAATCGGAGACCCTTGTAGACCAGTATCTCCCACTTACAGAAGCAGAACTAGGTAAGACCAATTCAAGGTTTGATTTTGTTGGAATGCTCGTATTGGAGAGAAGCAAGCAACCATTCTTTTATTACTTACTCATACTGGGGAGGGAGCACATGCTTCCCAAACTGCCTTTTGCCTTGCTGGTTGTAATAGCATCTTCTTTGCAGGGAGCAGAGTGAAAATAAGGGTTTCCAAGAATGGTGGTCTATCAGCCTACCCTGGTGCTGAAGGACTACTAAACATGTCTAGTATTCAGCAGTTATGAAGCAAATAAAACTGCCTCATACCTCTTAAGTTTTCTTCCAGTGGTCAACTTGCTTCCTTTCTACATATCTAGAGAAAGAAGCTGCAAAAGTTGAAGGTTTTGAAGTTGGAGTTCAGAAGCCAAGCTACTACGTTAGACTGGGATCCCTGTCTTCAAAGGTCCGCACACGTGCCTACCAACAAGCCTTAAACAAAGTTAGAGATGCTAAACAGAAAAGCCAGGAGACAATCTTGCAGCTCCACCACACTGTTAGTCTGGTAAGTTTAAGCTTTCACTTGAGGTACAAAAAGCAAATATTGGCATAGTTTTAGAGTGCAGAAAACAGCCAAAAGAGGAATAGGAAAACTGGAATTGTGCTCTTGGACTAAATGCATTTTCTAGATATAAAGCACTTCCCATTCAGAGCTTTCCACCACCATTCAGGAGAGGTCCTAAATCAGGCTGAGTTGTAAACTAACCAGCAATTGCTTGTAATTTTAAGCACTGCAGAAACAGAATTGACATGTTTAAAATGCTATTCCTGTTTTAGAGTGCTGGTTTGATAGAGACTTCATTCAGTGAAGAAAGTGTCTTGCAATGTAGAAACACTTCAGTCCTTTAAGTCCTTTTTGTTAATAATGTCAGATTCTTTATGGGCTTGCTCTTCTTGCTGTGGGTATCTCTGAGTGTTCCTGTGTACTTCAGTAGTCTTATCCTAACAATGTATGTCTATGTACAGGACAAACTGTGCATAAAGAGTCATGGCCTTCTATACACTTTCAAATCCTTGTGTAGGATGCTAGTGGGGAAGGGGGAAAAAGCTGAGGCAGAGGTATACACTACACAACATCTCAAAACTGCTTCCAGTTTTCTCCTCTTTGAGGAGAAGAAACACACTCTTATATTCCCAAAAGTCTTTTATACTGAACTTTAAAAGTATTTAAAAAGGAGATTGCAGAGCAGGTAAGGTAGCATAGCTCTAATGGAACTGTTTGGACTCTTTGCTTTACTTCCTTATTTGGCTGTTATTTCAGATCGAGTATGCCAGAAAGAACATGAATAGTGCCAATCAGAAACTTCTTGATGCTCAGGAAAAGCTTTATCAATCCTGGGTAGAATGGAAGAAAAATACAGGCCAAAATGATGGTGGTGAACTGCATAGTGCTGAGGTAAATAGATGTAAATGTAAACCAGAAATAAATGGATTGTATACTGCACAGGTAATGGCAAACTAACAGTCCCCAAAGTGTGCAGCATCCTAACAGCACAGAAGCTTATGTGCAGATGTGAAATCTGAATGCTAAAGCTCAGGGCAGCTGACTAGTGACTGCTATGAAAAGTAGGGGACACCCAAACTCTTAAGAGGCTGCTTCCTGCAAACACTCTGGGGTTTGTTCTCCCTTCAAGAGAGTGCTTATCCTGTTTAGCGTGTGAACCTGTGTTGGGATATGGATATCTGGATCAGCTAGGACTCGCTTACCTTATGTGGCCAGACCAGAAATAACAGTTTGTCAGCATAAAGCAGTCTTAGACACAGACTCACTGAGTCTTATATGTAGCTTTAAACAGTGATTCATTGATTAGAATATACTTACCTGCTGTGATTTCTTATCCAGAGTTGAAACAAGAGCTTGTTTATCTGTCGCTGGGTAGAAGCTACCAATGTTTCTATTCCACAAAGTACTTGAGCATTGAAGAAATAACGAGTACTTTCAAGTCTCTGAGTCTTCAGACTTAAGACCTGTTTCACTATCTGCTATAGCTTTATTTTGCTTATACCCTCTGGACTTTGCTGCTTTATGTATCTTAAGCAACATAAAGCTGCTACAGTCATAAAGAGATACTAATGTGCTGTTATGCTTTTTGTTTCCAGCATATTGAGTCAAGAACTCTAGCTATTGCACGGAGCCTCACTCAGCAGCTTCAGACCACCTGCCTCACACTGGTCTCAAGCCTACAGGGGCTGCCACAGAATGTGCAGGATCAGGTTTACAGTGTTGGGTCAATGGCAGGTGATGTCTACCAGAGCTTTTGGTCAGCATCCTCCCTCCAAGAATTATCAGACAGCTTTCTTACCACTAGCAAAGGGCAGCTGAAGAAAATGAAGGAGTCTCTGGATGATGTGATGGATTATCTTGTTAACAACACGCCGCTCAACTGGCTGGTAGGTCCCTTTTACCCACAACTGCCTGGCATTCAGCATGCTGAGAGCAAAGGTGAAGGGGAGAAAATTTCCAGCCAGAAAGACAAACAGCCTGAACACACTGTTGAATAAACTGCATAGCATGCATGTACTCTGCTGACTGACCAAACAAGTGGCCTTACCAAGTGTAACTGTCAAAACAGCCTTGGAGAAAAATCCATAAACATATGAGTAGGGCAATGATACAGAGAAAGGACATGCTTACACATGGGCTGTATTGTCCTGTGTAGTTAAGACACTCTAAAAACTCAAACTGTCTTGAGTGCCTAAATATTAGCAGCTTACTGTTGTCAAGATGCCTTGTTTGTCTGTCAAGTTAAGAAACCTCACCATGCTTATTAATGGTATTAATACCATTAGTCTAAATGAAAACTACCATAGCTAAAAGCATCTGATTTGTAGCTTAATCTGTACCAGAATGACATAAAAGCCTTACCTACTATGAAATGCCTTTAAAAGCTCTGCAGTCTAGCTAAGTATGCTGAATTCCTTGTTTGGTGCAAATCATGTGTTTGATTATTATGGATCTGACTGTCTCAAATTCTACTGCTACACAATTCATGACAAAAGTTCTGCAAGTGCAGAAATCCGAAGCTAAAAGTGGGGTTTCTGAACAGGTCAGCTGGAGTTACTTAAATGCTGTGACAGTGTTAACTATATAAACTTTACTATTGTATAACATAGTAACCCAACCAGAGAATCATAGAATGTCTCAAGTTGGAAGGGACCCATAAGGATCATCAAGTCCAACTCCCTGCCCCTCGCAGGACTACCTAAAACTAAACCATATGACTAAGAGCATCGTCCAGATGCTCCTTGAACTCTGACAGGCTTGAGGCTGTGACCAATTCCCTGGAGAGCCTGTTCCAGTGACCGACCAAATTGTTATCAATACATGTTTTTAATATGCAGTATAAATACAAGATTCATGCTGTTTGTACCCAGGTGCCTGCTGTTGTGTGTGGTGGTGTTTTTTTTGTAGCCATCTTTTTGTAATTCATTTTGTATGTTAGTAATAAATGCTTCAGTAGCCAAAGTCTGTCTCCATTTCAGTGCTGTTTAAAACAAATGTAACTTGCTCTTCTGTGACTCCTTCAAACTGGGTCCAGCAGAAAGCAAGCTTAAAATGCAAATGAAGTAGACCGCATTGATAATGTATTTGTGTGTATGTATAGATAGGTAAAGTATGGCTGCAGCATTTACTTCCTCCCTTTGGGTTCCTGTGCATCCTTCCATTCAGTCTTAGCTTTATTGCTGCTTTTTTGGTGCTTGCTGTTGCCTACCTTAAATGATGACCTAAGCTGTGACCTGATGGATGTTCTAATATTGAGAAGAGAAGGATATGGACAAAAAAAATCCTGTCCTGCCTTTGCAGTAGGTGTTCTGTGCATGAGACTGCTGGCTACCTGCTTTGGCTTCTGGCTCCCTATAAACAGTATGCACTCCTCAGCTGCAAACACCAGTTTTAAACCTATTTACCTTCTTTTGAACTTGAGTGACTAATGTACATTAACACTCAGCTACTTGGGTGGAATTGTTCCTCAATAAATCTTGTGAACCCCTCCCCTGGAAGAGAATTGCAGTCACTAAGAAATAAGCTTTCTTGGTTTAAGGCTGTCCACGTAAGTTGTGTCTGTGTTGTTAATGCATACCCTGTGCATCTTTGAGTTGCAATCATTTAGTGTAGCAATGCTGGCCATCATTTTCAAAGAGGTCACCAAATAGTGTGAAGCAAAAATGGAGTTCAGAGGAAGCTTGTCACCTAGTGATGTGTTGCTACGTGGAACAATACCTCCACTTGGCACAATGTGGGCATGAAAGCAAATTACATATAATCTATCCTAATGTGACAGGGCTTGCTTAGCTGTTAAGTCAGGGTTTGTCTAGAAGTGTTAGGAAGACTGTTTTAAGCACAATATTAAACACAATTGTAATAAGGATTACAGAGAAAGATTCTGTAACTTCCAGCTTTAAATACTTGCTTTTTGTAAGGGGGCTGGTTAACATGAAATTAACAAGAGATGGTGAGATACCCCTTTCCAGCTAGGACCTGAGTTAAGACTTCTGGAATTCTTTCAGCAATTAATTCTGTTTACTTTAAGTATTGAATGAGTCTAGCCAGAGAATATCCTTTTTATCTCCATTTGTAATCAAAGTTGTAGAGTGCATCCACTGTTGTAGAGGTGCTCAGGAACAGAGTGGGACTAATTGGCTCTGGGAGCAGCTGACAGTTGAAAGAAGGGAACTCCCATTCTTATGTATTTTAAGATCTGAAGGCTGTGGGCCTTCATTCTGAGGTGATGAATTAAATAAGATACTCAAACTGTCCATTGTCTTTTGAGGACTGAGAAATAAACAGCACCATTTAGTATTAATGCAAGAGAATACATCTTTCTCCTTCCTTAAGCTGCACTACTGTTTTGTACTCCCTTAGCTTTACTAAATGTCAGCAAGCAGATGAAGTAGAAAGCAAGGAAAAATGTTATCAGCATAGACCTTCAAATAATTTCTCCCTCACCATGGACTATTGGGTGACTTCTGTGTAAAAGTTACTTTGACTTCTGACAGCTGACCTACAACTGGTGGCTGCAGACAGAGGAATATCTGGTTAAATGCTTACCTAATGGTTGGGCTAATAGCCTGTTGTACCAAAATGCTGTATGTGGGTTCCTGTATCAAGCTATTGTGGTGTGTCATCATTTCTTTGGATCCTGCCCCCTCCCTGAAAGTGTGTAAGTTTCTACACCCCTCCCCCCCAATAGAATTAGGAACCCTCCTTTGGAGGAAAAGAGGGCTGAATAAGAGCAAATCAGTATGTTAGTGGTTTGTTATAAACTGAATGTTTAAACTGAATTGCAACTGTAGCTTGCATGGGTATCTTCTAGCTGGTAATTTAGTACAGCATATACCTAGACTCTTATTTTAATTACAGGTCTACAGACAAAACTTAGTATTTTTCTCTAGCACAGTTAGAGTGACTATTAAAATGCCTGCTGGAGGCAACAATGAGGTGGACACCTTCCAAAGCCATCATTGGGGTTTTTTGGCACAGTGGACTGAAGCTGAAGGGCATGCTAATTGCTAAAAACTCTCAAATAGAAGGAGGAAAACCTAAGATATGAACAGAGCAGAGCCTGCTCATAAATTTTTCCTGCTATCTTACCTGTTTCTCTGTAATTGCCTGTAACAAACAGCTCAGCTATACTGCACAGAAACTTGCTTGTTCTTAGTCCAAAAACACTTTTGAGGATGTAGCTTGGGCTAGAAAGCTGTGAAGTCTCTCTGGAACATTTTAAAAAAGGTAAGACCAGGTATGTTGAAAATTATAGGCAATAGTTGATCCTATTTGCAGCAAGGCAGATAAAGTAGATGAAATGGAACAAAGTGTCAAAGGCTGCTAGTCACACAAAAATTGGGATGGTAAAGGTTAGAATACTAATGTAATTATCACTGGTAAGGTTATTTAGGTTCTATTTAGAATTCAGAAAATTCCTGTTTCTCTTTAAGACATCACTCAAAAATCATTCATGCTGGTTGAAATTTCCCTTTCCAGGCTCATTTAACAGAGAACTATTATTCTATCATTGCTGATAATCCTTTGCTACAAAAGTTTTAAATATAAGCATTTGTAAATAGTTCCATGTGGTACAAAAGTTTCACAAACATCATATAGCGGCACAGACATTGGTCAAATCCAAATTACAAGCTTTGTGTAAGGACTGGAGTTGCAGGGATATAGCTAGTTTGCCTCAAACGAAAGAAAGGTGGAAAGCTTTTGGAATCTCTCCCATTCCTTGAGATTGACTTTTTTTGCAATAATCTTTTCCAAACTGCAACTTAACAGTAATACTATATAGCTAGTAAAATAGGTGAAAAGATTTGCAAACAACTGATTAATTATCTTTATTAAAAAAAAAAACAAAACGACCAACCAAAACCCATCCGAAAACTTACCCAAGCCATCTAATTAAAAAGAGAAAATGGAATCTAACTTATTTTTTAAGCATGATCTGTTGGTCATTTGCGTGATCGAAAGTCTTACATGCAACAGCTTGCCAGAGGTATTGTGCACAGTGTTTTGTCAAATGTATTTCTTTCCATATTAAGATGGAAATTTTATTTCTTTTGGATGATACAGTCTCAATGACTAAAAATAAGTGCTTGTTCTGAAAGTGCACAAAATAAGAACGATCTCTCAAATTGCTAGTGGCTCAGTTCTAAAAATACATGAAGCAAGAAAAAATGGATAAATCTAAAGTCAAGCTAGTATTGACATTAACATTTGTATATGTATATGACCCTGTATATTGTATATGAAGACAGCAAAACACTGAAGTATGTCTTGCGCTATTCCATGCAAGGATTCTGCAAGTTTTGCAGTATTTTGTATAAATGATCTAATTGCATCTTGCAGAGAAATGGCATGAAGAAGAGTCCTATCTGGCCTCATTCTTTGTTGCAAGAATGGACTTGCTGTTTGTTTCAACTTCCTATCAACTGTGAAAAGTGATATGGAAGTGAAGGTCCTTTACCTAAGTAAGCCCGTAACACCAATGGTTTTGCATTGTTTTAGTAAGACTGCTGCAGATGTCAGAATATGCTGTTCTAATAAAATTTAGCATGTTCAAAACTGAGATAAATCATATTGACATCAACCCTGTTTGATGCTGACAGATATGCTTGAATTTGAACTTCTTTCATGGCTATGAACATCTTACTAGTACATTAAAGGAGTCAGCTGCTTATAATGTGTGCATGAGGGAGATGAAGAAACCACAAACTTAAAGTGATTATCCTGTTGTCGGTAAGAACAACATGGATATAAGTAATGAAAGTGTCTTAAACCTAGGATATAGTGAAAATTGTCACTGGTCAGACATGGTTACTGAACATAGGCAAATGTCCTGCTTAGTGTAGAAATAGAACAAAACAACTTGTTTAAACCATCTGTTTGAGCAAATGAATTTGCATATGGACTACTTGGCCTTAAGTCTTGTTAAGACATCCCTGTTTATACTGCAGTATGAAATACAGGGTCATGTGCTGATAATGGGAAAACTTGTTGATTTCTCCAAGTGTGGTAATTAAATTTTTAGGTGAACTGCCATAAGCAGAAAGATGCAAGATAGTTGTTGCTGGTAGAAAGATGTGTTTTGCCCATTCCTAGTGCCTTTTGATTCTTTAGGAGACAAAGATTACTGATCTCACATTGATCAAGCTTACCTTCTCAAAAGTGGTCCACGCATTTCATTGTATTCACACTAGTGCCTGATAGGTGACATGCTGCTTAAATTCTTCTGAAGCTCAGTTTTAAGTAATATTTTAATTAATATTTCTAAGTTCCTGGTGCCCTATGACTACCTACTGTCTAAGGAACTGAGTGATTCATGTTCAGTGCTTCAGTGCTGTCTACAACCCAGTAGCTAAAACAGTAATCCCTTTATCCTTTGATGTGTTCTCTGTTCTTCTGACATGTTTTCATAGCAGGCAAAGCATAGATTTGTCTTCCATACTATCTTTCATAAAAGTAAGTAATAAGCAAAGTGTTTTGCAGTTAGGGAATGGATTAAAACTGCTTCTCCATTGAGCACTGAGCTTAAGTGACACAAATTCCTAGAAGTGTCTTCAAGTTGCTGCTTCTTTGTACGTGCAGAACCAAAGTCCTGTCAGCATGCAGCCAGCATTATGTGCTGGTACTGTGCCTGGCTCCAAGTATGTCACATCACCAACATTTAAGCTAACCATGAGTCAAACTATAGATATAAGTAATTTTCACTTGGGGCAAAAATCTTCTTGTTATGAGTAAATTGCTCAAGTATATCCCATTTTTCAGATGTGCCTAAGTAATCTAAGTCCTACTAAGGGGACTTAAGGGTTGGGACTTAAGCTCCTAAGTGTCTTAGCCAACATTTTTAGAAGTAACGTCCATGTATCCACTAATGTCTCTGGCGCTGCCTAACAGTACAGAATATTATACATGCAGCTAAAAGAGAGGCCAAATTCCAGATATTTGTTTTCTCAGGAAAGGTTTGATGTGGTAGGCAGGCAGAGCAGTGCAGAGCAATCCATACCAAGCTCCTCAGGGCAGGTTCCTTTGTATATAGCCTATTGCTCCCAAGGAAAGAAGAAAGGCAAAGTAAGTTTAAAAACTTCCTCTCTTAATTTTCCACTCACCAGTTTCACTAAATACACTCCAGTAACTTCAGCTCTGTTCTCTCTCTACTATAAAATCCTGTCTCCCAAGCAACTGATCTACATCTTGCATAGTATTTGGTCTGTCTTAATGCTGTGTTTCATATGTGACTGAGCATATTTCACTCTGTATTCAGTATTTTGGGTCTGATTTCTAGAGATGCTGGGCATCTTTGTCTCCTGACTTCAGTGAGGAGTACTGCACAAATTTATTTAGTTTTACTTTTAAATTGATTGAAATTTCATTCCTATGCAGGTTCCAGATTTCACTATTACAGACCTGTCTTCAGAGTCAGATGATATCCCAGACATTTTGGATTTGGATGAAGATGACCAACAAGACTTTTCACGCACAAATGGCCCTTATACTACAGGGCAAAGAGCTGAATGAAGAGAAGCGTAAAAATGTCTTTTTGATACAATGTACTTTTGCCATGTTTAACTTAGATTTCTCCTTTTTGAAGATGAACCTGCCTAGTTTAGGGATTTTGGGGATATTTTTTTTTAATCACTATTCTTTCACTTAGCTGCATCAAAATTCTGTTTTTGTTGTTTTTTTTTTTTTGTTTGTTTGTTTTTTTCTACCTAAGGAATGCATGCTACCTTGATTCATTAGCATGGGTGTCAAGCTCCCATTCTACAAGCCAGGTATAGCCTAACCAGGGTATCCAACTGCTCTAGTCTTTGTTAATGATTCGTTCTCCTGCTGGCAGCAGCCATGAGAACACTCCAGTGCTTTGCATAAAGGGCTGCCAACATAAGGAGTTGATGAGGATTTGCCCACGAAATTTCCCCTTTCAGTCCACATGGAAAGCACTTCTGCATCTACCTCTTTGCTGCTGGAAGGGATAAGAGACTTTGTCTCAGACTCTCTCAGGTTCTTTTTGTTAGGCTCTGTACCTACAGAGCTTTGAAGCTTAGAGCTTCCCTTTGGCAAGAGTGCTTTATGCACAAAGAAAGAGGCTCCCTTTTTCTCTACATGCCTTTAGCGTGCAAAAGTTTCGGCCATCCTGATGCTATCAGTTGTGAGGCCTGAGACTAGAAGAGAATAAATGCTTAAAAAGGAGTTTTCCAGGAATATGGATGACAGTTAAAAAAAAGAAAGGGGAAGAGAGTGTAAAAAGTAAGGACAAACGGAGGGCAAAGAGACACAAGCAGACGCGGGACAAAAGAAAATTGCGGGAAAAAAAAAAGGGAATTGAAGGTGGGGATGCTTCCGGTGACAGCGATGATCTTTCTGTGTTTAAACCTCAATCAAGTATTTGCTAAGGCATGCCGAACCCGCATTTGCTTGCAGACAGCGGCTTCTGTAGGTGCAGGGGTGAGTGGGAACGGGACTGGAGGCAGGCAGGCAGGCGTGCCGCCTTTCTGACCGAGGGTCAGACGGAACTCCTCCCGCAGAGACCGCCCCGGTGTCGCCCGGGTGAGCGCAGCAGGTCTGGAGCTGTTGCCCGGTGCTCCTTCTGTCCAGCCGCGGAAACACCACTCGGCACCGGGGACAGCCGCGAGGTGCGCCCCCCTGCTCTCTCGCCAGGGCACACTCGGTTGTTGTGAAAGCTTTGAAGTCTAGTCACTGAAATGCCTTGGAATAAAAGTCTGAACCTCTCAGCCTGCTGCCGGTGCGAGTTTTACTGCGTTTTCGTGTTCGATTTTGTAACCCGATTACCAAGGAAGCTAGCTGCGCTGCAAGGGCCCCCTGGAGGTCGCCTGCCACAAGCGCTGCCCGAAGCGCGATGCCCTCTACCATCACCTCACGCTGCTCCGGGCCGCCTCGGGGCGGGGTTTCGAGAGCCGGGCCGGTACCGCCGCCGCCGCCGCTCGGCCTCTTCAGGGGCCCCTCGGCGTGCCGGCGGCGGCGGCAGCAGCGAAACGCCAGCCGCCGCCACCCCGCGGCCTGCACCGAAGCGGCG